TGCCCGCAGTGCGCATGCTGAGTTTGTTTACCTAGATCCGTGTCCCCGCTCATGATCGCCTTCTCTAGTGCCAGGTCATCTTTCTTCATGCGCATAAGCAGTGGTACCTGGTCAGCGGCCTTTGCTTCATAGTCCAACAGCTACCAGAGGAAAAAAAAGGTTTAAAAATCGTGCAATAAAACAAGTGATCAACGCGACGTCATATAACCATGAGTAGATTGGCTGTACATTTGAAATCAAGACAGAATGCTTCTTGGCAAGCTTTATCCCGTTTAAATTCCACTCGTAAAACTTCCCTTACATTATCAAACTCATTAATAATTCATCAAGTTTAGACAAAGGCAATCATGACCGTGAGAGGGGTTTGGATATCTGATCTTAATTAGCATGATAGACTTCAACGATTTTATTTCTCCGTTTTCTCCTTAGTTTTAGATTCGATTGAGAAGATACATCAAACACTCAAGACAGTGTTTGACCACATTTCTACCCCCCCACCCCCCAGGTTTGTCAAAAATACTCCGCTGCGCGTCGCATTTTCAACTCTCTTCTCGGTGTTTGGAAATGTGGTCAAACACGGTCTTTCGTGTTTGATGTATTACCTGAACGGACCGTAAAGATTTAGAAAAGTTCACAGCACTGATTTGACTTTGGGTTCCAATACAATTCTAAGTCCCAGGGGTTTTATTTCCTTATATACAGGTGTAATATCACGGCAATTTCCTGCATTTTTGGTCAAAACGGCTTAAAACTTACGACTCAGTACCTTGGCTCATACATGATGTGCGCTTAAAAACACCAACTCTAAGATGAAGACATGACGTGATTTGTTGAAGAGAGATCATCTTCTAATTAGTTTTTGGCTAATGTTCCAGGACGTTACGACGAAATGATGATCAAACCCACTTCTCAAACTCATTAATAATTCATCAAGTTTAAACAAAGGAAATCATGACCGTGGTGGTGTTTGGATATCTGATCTTAATTAGCATAGATTTTTACGATGTTATTTCTGCGTTTCTCCATAGCTTCAGTTTCGACTGAGAAGATATACACTCAAGACAGTGTTTGACCACATTTCCAAACACCTCGAAGTTCGTCAAAAATACTCCGCTGCGCATCATATTTTCAACTCTCTTGTCGGTGTTTGGAAAGGTAGTCAAACAAGGTCTTTCGTGTTTGATATA